TAGCTCAGGAGAGGCACACAGGCGGCCAATCACCGGCGAGGAAGTGGAGCTTGGAGAGGAGGAGCCGAGCGGCAGCGCGCGGAGATCGAAGAAGATCGAGGGAGCTGCAGGAGCGAGTGAAGAGAGAGGCCAGAGAAGGAAGACAGCTGACAGGTAAGTGCAAATTTTGCTGCTGCAGCCAGGTATGCAGGCTGTAGATGGGAGAGGGAGAGAGCGAGCCCAGGCTGGAGCAGGGGTCAGCAAGGTAAGTACCATTGGTGTCAGTGGGAGGAATAGTGCCCCATCATTTGTGTCACTAATACCAACGATGGGGTACTATTCCTCCCCCCACTGACACCAACGATGGGGCACTATTCCTCCCCCCACTGACACAAACGATGGGGCACTATTCCTCTCACTGACACTAATGATGGGGCACTATTCCTCCCACTGACACCAATGATGGGGCACTATTCCTCCCCCCACTGACACCAACGATGGGGCACTATTCTCCCCCCCACTGACACCAACGATGGGGCACTATTCCTCCCACTGACACCAATGATGGGGCACTATTCCTCCCACTGACACTAATGATGGGGCACTATTCCTCCCACTGACACCAATGATGGGGCACTATTCCTCCCACTGACACCAATGATGGGGCACTATTCCTTCCAATAACACCCACAATGGGGCACTATTCCTCCCACTGACACCCACAATGGGGCACTATTCCTCCCACTGACACCCACAATTGGGCACTATTCTTCCCACTGACACCAATGATGGGGCACTATTCCTCCCACTGACACCAATGATGGGGCACTATTCCTCCCACTGACACCAATGATGGGGCACTATTCCTCCCAATGACACCCACAATGGGGCACTATTCCTTCCACTGACACCCACAATGGGGCACTATTCCTCCCACTGACACCAATGATGGGGCAGTATTCCTCCCACTGACACCAATGATGGGGCACTATTCCTCCCACTGACACCAATGATGGGGCACTATTCCTCCCACTGACACCAATGATGGGGCACTATTCCTCCCACTGACACCCAATGATGGGCACTATTCCTCCACTGACACCAATGATGGGGGCACTATTCATCCCACTGACACCAATGATGGGGCACTATTCCCTCCACTGATACCAATGATGGGGCACTATTCCTCCCACTGACACCAATGATGGGGCACTATTCCTCCCACTGACACCAATGATGAGGCACTATTCCTCCCACTGACACCCACAATGGGACACTATTTCTCCCACTGACACCAATGATGGGGGCACTATTCCTCCCACTGACACCCACAATGGGGCACTATTCCTCCCACTGACACCCACAATGGGCACTATTCCTCCCACTGACACCCACAATGGGGCAGTATTCCTCCCACTGACACCATGATGGGGCAGTATTCCTCCCACTGACACCAATGATGGGGCACTATTCCTCCCACTGACACCAATGATGGGGCACTATTCCTCCCACTGACACCAATGATGGGGCACTATTCCTCCCACTGATACCAATGATGGGGCACTATTCCTCCCACTGACACCAATGATGGGGCACTATTCCTCCCACTGACACCAATGATGAGGCACTATTCCTCCCAATGACACCCACAATGGGGCACTATTCCTCCCAATGACACCCACAATGGGGCACTCTATTCCTCCCACTGACACCCACAATTGGGCACTATTCCTCCCACTGACACCAATGATGGGGCACTATTTCCTCCACTGACACCAATGATGGGGCACTATTCCTCCCACTGACACCAATGATGGGGCACTAGACCTCCCACTGATACCAATGATGGGGCACTATTCCTCCCACTGACACCAATGATGGGGCACTATTCCTCCCACTGACACCAATGATGGGGCACTATTCCTCCCACCGATACCAATGATGGGGCACTGTTCCTCCCACCGATACCAATGATGGGGCACTATTCCTCCCACCGATACCAATGATGGGGCATTATTCCTCCCACTGATACCAATGATGCGGCACTATTCCTCCCACTGATACCAATGATGGGGACACTATTCCTCCCACTGATACCAATGATGGGGCACTATTTCCTCCCACTGATACCAACGATGGGACACTATTCCTCCCACTGACACCAACAATGGGGCACTATTCATCCCACTGATACCAACGATGGGACACTATTCATCCCACTGACATCAGTGATGGGGCGCTAGTCCTCCCATTGCAAAATTACAGTTATGAAGTAGCAACGAAAATAATTTTATGGTTGGGGGTCACCACAACATTGAGGAACTGTATTAATTAAGGGGTCGCGGCATTAGAAAGGTTGAGAACCACTGCTCTATCTCCTTGTAGCGAGAGAAAAAAAAAACCCACAACTGTTTGTAAAAAAAAAAAAAATTACATTAAAAATAAATAAATATTAAAAAAAATAAAAAAATACCTAGATCAAGGTTTGATCTAGTTCAGTGCCAGGGTTAGAGTTTGGGTCAAGGTCAGGGTGAAAAGACAAGGTCAAAGGTAATGATTTTTTTTTTTTTTTAATTGGTATCAGTGTCAGTGTGTTTTAGGTAAACCCCCCCCCCCCCCCAAAACTAAATGTGCACTATTGTTTCTGGGCTGTAGTACAGGTACAAACAACAAATAACATACACTTATATGGTATTGCTGTGATCGTCAAGAGCTGGAAGATATATCTTGGTTTGTTTTTTGGTGGTCGGTTATGGTAGCCACAAGAAGCACAGAGCTAAATTAAAAAAAGGATTTTTTTTACTATTTGGGCCAGTTTTCCTTTGTTAATCAAAAAAAGGAGATATCCATTACCATTTACCACCAAATGAAAGCCAAATGTTTTCTGAAAAAAACAAGGTATAATTCACCTGGATGTACTAAGTAGTTGTGATGATATGTACGGTTTTACTAAAGCAAATGGCAAAGTTGTAAAATTTTACTTAGGCTTTAAGATGTGTTTTACCCTTAGGTGTGAAGGGGTTAACCTGCTGTCTGCCTGAGAATTTTCCAGTAGTTCTGTGACTTCCCCTGAAAAACTTAAACATTGGTCCCTGCAATAGAAGATTTGGGAATACACACTTCCCTCTGGCAGGCAGTGAGTCTGAACTACTCTGCTGCAGCCTATGGTAAAGTCTGCAACATTTAACATTTCCAGGCCCACTGTCATACACTGCAGCTCCTCCATCCAGGTCCCCACAACACTGCTGATTCCTGAAATGACAGGTCTCAGAGTAAAGAATCCCAATGCACATCATGGGGCACAAGCAGTCAACACTCTTGGAAGGGTCGAAAACTGACTTGGCTGCAGCTCTGCAAGGGAGTTTGGACTTACCATCTGCCAGAGGAAAGTAAATATTCACAGTCTTCTAGTGCAGGACCAAATTGATTGTTTTTTCAGGAGAAGCCACAGTCACTTTAATTAAAAAAATTTGATTAGAAGATATTTTTTTTTCCAAATCATGATTCAAGGGCAGTGATAATTTTGATTGCAATTTGTACTGACAAAACAAATGAACAAATGTGTGTGTTGTGAGTGCCAAAAATACTCCAAAATATAATTACATTTCTTATTGAATCCAAAAAGAATTGATGTTATATTGGTGCATGTGGCTAGCAATATTAAAGTGAGACTTTTAAGTTTCCAAGATGGATTGAATTAATTATTTTACAGTAATCAGAAACAGTATACGCTAGTACTGTTTTGTAAATGGTGACTTTGTTTAAGCAGTTGTAAATTCAAAATCTCCTTCCCCGAAAATAAAAAAGGTTTATTTACCTGCTCTGTGCTATGGTATTGAGAAGAGCAGGTGACACAGCCAATCCTAAAAAGCATAAGGTTGAGAGTGAGATCACCAGAGAACCAACAGCACTGTCAGCCTTGTTGACCTGATGGGAGTGCTGCTGAGAGATTGGAGCATTCTCCACTCTACCTATCTGAGTTGTAGCCGCACCATAACAGGACAGAGGGGGGCCCCTTTCCCTGCAAAAGCCTATCGCCACCTCCAGGAGTTGGTAAGAGGGCTACTGGCCCACTTTGTACTGTTAGCAGTAGTCAAGCCACTGAGAGCAGGACAGAAGAAGATCTATGATTTAATTGGTATTGCTGAATCTTGGCTTCATTCTTCGCATGGCTGGGCCATTAATATTCCTGGCTATGTTCTCTTTCAGAGAGACAGAGTAAATAGGAAAGGTGGTGGTGTCTGTCTCTATGTGAGAAATGATCTCAGAGCGAGTGTGAAAGAGGACCTAGTTGATGGAGAGTGTGATGAGGCTGAAGTATTATGGGTGGAACTGCACATGGGGGTGCGTACTACAAAGGTAATAATTGGAGTTTGTTATAAGCCTCCCAGTGTTAATGAGAAGGTGGAAACTCAACTCCTTGCACAGATCGAAAGGGCTGCAAGGGCTGGGACAGTGATAATAATGGGGGATTTTAACTACCCGGAAATTGACTGGAGTAATGATACTGCAGGAACAGTTAAAGGGTAAACATTTTTAAACCTACTACAGGACAATTGTATGGTACAGTTTATAGAAGCCCCTATTAGGAATTATGCTATGCTGGACCTGGTAATCTCAAACAATGCAGAGCTTATTACAAATGTCCATATAAAAGAACATCTGGGTAGCAGTGACCATAACATGATTATATTTATTGTTAGCTGTAAACAGCAAGCACATATGGGAAAAATAAAAACGCTCAATTTCAAGAGAGCTAATTTTCCAAGGCTGAGAACTGCTCTCCAAGACTTAGACTGGGAGGGAATATTGGCATTGATGAACACAACACAGAAATGGGAGTTCTTTAACCACCTTCCGCCCGCCCTATAGTACAATGACGGGCGCAAGGTGGTTCTCTCGTTCTGATAGGACGTCATATGACGTCCTACCATTCTCACTGCGCATGCGCGGCTCAGGGAGCGAGCAGCGTGGCGATCTCCGCTGCGCTGTGTCCCTCGGACACAGCGGATCATGGAAAGAGCCGAAGATGTCGGCTCGGTCATGTGATCAGCTGTGTCCAATCACAGCTGATCACATGTAAACACGGAAATGCCGGTTATCTGCATTTCTCTCCTCTCAAGCTGTCACGCCGGTAATCGGCTTTCCGCGGAGGGGACATGTACACTGATCATCAGGGCACTGATGATCAGTGTGCCCTGATGATCAGTGTGGCCCCAGAAGTGCCACCTGTCAGTGCTCATCAATGCCACGTGCCAGTGCCCATCAGTGCCACATCAATGCCACATATCAGTGCATACCAGTGCACATCAATGCCACATATCAGTGCCCATCTGAGCTGCCTTTCAATGTCACCCATCAGTGCCAGTCAGTGCCACCTATCAATGCCAATCAGTGCCACCTATCAGTGCCAGTCAGTGTCGCCTATCAATGCGCATCAGTGCCAGTCAGTGCCGCCTATCAGTGCCAGTCAGTGCCGCCTATCAGTGCCATATATCAGTGTAATGTATCAGTGCCATGTATCAGTGCTGCCTTTCAGTGCCCATCAGTGATGCCTGTCAATGCCCATCAGTGCAACCTACCAGTGCCTCCTCATCAGTGCCCATCAGTGCCACCTATCAGTGTCCATCAGTGCAGCCTATCAGTGCCCATCACTGCAGCCTCATTAGCGCACATCAGTGAAGGAGAAAAATCACTTATTTACAAAATTGTATAACAAAAACTAAGAAAAAACGTTTTTTTTTTTCAAAATTTTCAGTGGTTTTTGGTTTGTTTAAGAAAAAACAAAAAACCCAGAGGTGATTAAATACCACCAAAATAAAGCTCTATCTGTCTCAAAAAAATTATAAAAATTTCATATGGGTACAGTGTTGCATGACCGCGCAATTGTCATTCAAAATGTGACAGCGCTGAAAGCTGGAAATTGGCCTGGGCAGGAAGGGGATATAAGTGCCCTGTAGGCTAGTGGTTAAAAAGACTGTATGTGAACACACTGCAAAATATATTCACATGGGCAACAAGTTTAAAAGGCTAAAAATCAAACCTATGTGGCTTATGGCCAAAGTTAAAAAGGCTATAGATAATAAGAAAAGAACTTTTATTAAATATAAAAATGAAGGAACGTTATCATCACTTAAACATTACAAAGAATATAACAGAATATGCAAAAAGGAAATAAAGGCCCCAAAAATTGAAAACGAATGACAGATTGCAAAAGATAGCAGGACCAACCCCAAAAAATTCTTCAAATATATTAATAGTAAAAAGGTCGGTCAGAGCATGTAGGCCCTTTACAAAATAATCTAGAGTTGGTGACTGGGGACAAAGAGAAAGCAAATTTATTTAATACTTTCTTCAGCTCTGTGTATACAAAGGAGTATGGGGGAGTTCTTGTCCATAATGGGCATGGTATTGACACAGCTCCAGATTATCTACATTGGCTCACAATTGATATAATCCAAAAATATTTAGACAGTATAAAGGTGACTAAAGCACCTGGACCGGATGGCATACACCACGGGTCCTTAAAGAATTGAGCTCTGTCATTTCAAAGCCATTGTTTCTAATTTTTAGGGACTCTTTAATGACTGGCATAGTACCACTGGATGGGCGTAAGGCCAATGTGGTGCCAATATTTAAAAAGGGGTCAAAAACTTTACCAAGTAATTATAGACCTGATAGTTTAACTTCTATAGTTGGGAAGATACTGGAGAGTTTAATAAAAGACCACATAGATGAGTTCTTGCTGAAAAAAAAAATATTTAAGCAACAGACAGCATGGATTCATGAAAGACAGAAGTTGTCAAACAAATCTAATTTCTTTTTATGAGGGGGTGAGCAAAACCTTGGAGAGTGGCGGTGGACGTGGTATACTTGGATTTTGCAAAAGCGTTTGAAACAGTTCCCCACACAGGGCTAATGTGTAAGGTAAAGTCTACAGCAGCTTGGTCGTATGCAAGCCGCGGATCGAAAACTGAGCTACATGCGGCTCTTTACAAGTGGTTAATGCGGCTACTCTGAATGGTCCGGGCGTCAGTCCCCTACCCTCCTCTCAGGTTGGGACCGCCCCAAAAGTCATGACTCTGCAGCTGTAGAAATCCCATTTAGTCTTTGCGGGACAGCCAGGATGTAGGCGTGGAATAAGCGTGACGAATCCTCTCAACTCTCACAGCCGCCCTGAAGACCAGTTTAATGGGCGGGAAGCTACGGCAAATGAGGGAACGCGCGGAGCAAAGGTAAGGTTTGACACTTGGGGGGACTTACTATATGGGGGGTGAATACATGGGGGACATATATGGGGGGGACTTACTATATGGGGACTTCAATGGTGGAAGGATCTGGGAGTTACTGGTATGGATCACAAGCTTACTATATGGCATGCTAATGGGGACTTTCTATATGAGCAAAACTCTCTTGTAATAAAAGAGGTATAGCTTACTATAGAGGGAGATATCATATTACCCCTGTACAAATCATTAGTAATTACTATCTGGAATATGAATTAGTTCAGTTATGGGCACCAGATCACAAAAACTATATGGGGGGGGAACTGGAGAAATTACAGAGGGGGCAAAAACTGTTAAGAGGGGATGAATTAGCTATGAGGAAAGGGGAATGAATTATTCTTTATGGGGGAGGAGATTACTATGGGGGATGATCAACATGGGGGTATAAATTACATATGGGGGATGATATGAACTCATGGGGTATGAATTATTCAATGGGGGATAGCATTACTATTACTGTGGGGCATTATTTGCCACTGTCACTGGGCATACTTATTTTTACGCTACCTGGGGGGATGAATTCTATGGGGATGTTTATGGGGGATGAAACTATATGGGGGATGAATTACTATATGGGCACCATGAATTGCTATGGGGTGATGAAATAGCTATATGATAGATGATATTAGATAGATAGGGGATGAATACTGTTAGAGGCATAGGAGGTAGATGTAGGTGCCACTGAAGGGGTAGGAGGTGATCCAAAGAGTGGGGGTGGAATTACTATATGGGAGATGTATTTTCAGTTTTAAAATGTGGCTCTCAAAATAAATTTCAGTTTTGGCGAGATTTGGGAAAAAAAAGGTTGCCCACCACTGGTCTACAGGAGTTGGATGGCCAATCTGTATGTAAATGGATAGAAAACTGGCTAAAAGATCGAATTCATGAGTAGTGGTTAATGATTCATACTCTGAATGGTCTAGGGTGATCAGTGGTGTACCCCAAGGTTCAGTGTTGGGACCCTTACTTTTTAAATATATTTATGAATGATAATAGGGTCTGAGATTAGAATTCCCATTTCAGTCTTTGCAGATGACACCAAGCCTGTGCAGTGGAATAACGTCCTTACAGGATGTCTTCAACTTACAAGCCGACTCAATGCACTTTTAATTGCAGGAAAGCTACAGGGGCAAACTGTAGTAATATGCCAAATGTACACTGCTTAAAAAAATTAAAGGAACACTTTTTAATCAGTATTGCATCAAGTCAATTAAACTCCCGGGATATTGAGGTCAGTTAAGTAGCAGAGGGGGTTGTTAATCGAAGCTGCCTTGGTGTTAATGAAATAAACATGCAACAGGTGCACTAGATGGGGAACAATGGAAATCGACCCCCAAAAACAGAATGATCTTTTACAGATGGAGATCCACTTACATTTTCAGTGGAGAACTTATGCTTTTCTGTAACATTGTTTTGCACTAGTTTTGCATTTGGGTCGTGATGTATCACTACTGGTAACATGAGATGATATCTATACCCTATGGGTTGCACAGGCAGTCCAACTCCTCCGGGATGGCACAATCAACCCTGACTGCCATTGCCAGAAGGTTTGCTGGTTTTCCAGCACAATCTTAAAGCTTGGAGGAGATTCCAGGATTGGCAGTTACTCTAGGAGAGCTGAACAGTGCAGAAAGTCCTGGGTTTCTCATGCAGAACGGTATCTGCCCCTTTATGCAAGGAAGAACAGGAGTTGAGGACTGCCAGAGCCCTACAAAGTGATGACCTCCAGCAGGCCACACTGGTGTGAATGTCTCTGATCAAACAATCAGAAACAGACTTCATGAGGGTGGCCTGAGGACCCAACATCCTCTAGAGGGCCTTGTGCTCACTTCCCAGACCATAGAGCTCGATCTGGCATTTGCCATTGAACAGCAGGCACCCTGTGCTTTTCACAGATGAGAGCATGCCCCATGTTGCCAAGCACATGCATACAGACGTGAAAGAGGCCTGGACAAAGCTGTGGAGTAACATTTTGCTGCCTGTAATCATTTTTTCAGCTTTGACCATTTTGGTGGTGGGTTTGAATGGTCCTTTGTAGTTGCATTTTTATCCATGGGCATCCTTACACATAACAGACCAGTACATAGGATATACAATGGCATGCCTGACTGCCATTTTTTATGGGATGAAATCCTTGGACAACGTGTTTGTCAGTTACGCTGGTGCAGTGGTCCTGGGTTTCTTGATGATGCACAACAATGCCTGGCCTCATGTGGAAAGAGTATGCAGGCAGTTCCTGGAGGATGAAGGAAGTGATACCAGTGAATGGCACCCACGTCGCGCCTGACCTAAATCCAATAGAACACTTTTGGGATATCATGTTTTGATCCTTGGATTAATTCCAACCTGATGCTGCCAGGTTGCACCTCTGTCCAGGAGTTCAGTGATGCCCAGATCAGAAAGGAAATTTACCCCAGACCTTTCACTTAAAGTGAATCCGTGTCTCATTAGTAGCATGCCCCGATGTTGTCTTCAAGCATGCTACAATCACATGGTGGGGCCATAAAAAAACTACCTGAGTACCAAATTTTCAGCTGCAGCATTTTTTCACTTTTTTAAACGGTGTCTTTGAATTTACTGACCTTTGTAGGGATCACTTTTATCAATGAGGGGGCATCCTTGAGATGCCCCTGGTACTTTTTCCATAGGCTTATGAGTATTGGGCAGGAATACAGGGGCCCCATTGAGATCTAATGCATTTTCCGGGGGCCCAAAGCGTTTTCATGTCAATATCCTCTGTCTCCAACTTGTAATTAAGAAATGGCAGTCATCAGGACCCCAGTGGAAGTTAAAGCAACATCTGGAAGACCAAGAAATATATCAGAGAGAACATCTCGCAGGATTGTGAGAAAAACAATTCAAAACCACGTTTGACTGCACGATCCCTCCAGAAAGATATGATAGACACTAAGTTGTGACTTACGCTATTCCACTATAAAGGATACATTGTACAAATTTGTTAAGTCTTCATACAAAACAGAATTTCAGAAAAAACCTCTTCTACGTGTCACCATAAAAATCATCGTTTATACTTTAAATAACATATAGACACAGCTGATGGGAAACAAGTTCTGGGACCGATGAGGTTAAAATTTGAATTTTTGCAAGAATGAGCCAAGGTACGTTTGGAGAAGAAGGGGCACAGAATTTAATGAAAAGAACAGATTAGTCCATTCTTA